CAAAAGTCTCAGTAGAAGAGACAGCATATCTAATTTCTCCATCTCAAAAACGAGGTTAAGTGTCAAGTTCCAAATGTCAATAAAAAAGGCTGCACCATTATCCTGATATGGATGTTTCGAACACTCTGTTGTTTGCAAGAGCCATGCCACACCCAACATGGAGTACGTCAAAGGAATATTTGTTGCTGAAATCACAATGTCTGATTTAATGTGGAAGCCAAATAAAACCAAATAATTTCAGAAAGCAGACATTAGATAAGTCCTAAACAACTTTCATTCTGGTGACACTGAGTGCAGATTTTGATTGATGACTGACGGGTAGGGCTGACTATTGATGAATATCAGTGAGATCGATATTCGTTAACTAAATGTATTGATCAATTATCGATAAATATCGCAGAAGTATCTTGGAGCAAAAATGCCATATAAATCTCAAAGAAATAAATACAATTCACATCACTGGTGTGTGGCCAACGTATTTATGCATGGATTACTAACAAAACAGCATCATGAACATAATGTAGATAGAGCGAGTGAGTTTAGTTTTATGCCGCATTCAGCAGTATTCCAGCTATATGGTGGCGGTCTGTAAATAATCGAGTCTGGACCTGACAATCCAGTGATCAACAGCAAGAGCATTGATCTGCTCACATAATTTAGAAGCAGCACATGAATAAAAACCTAACTTTGTGTATTGCGTGAGTAAACTAAATGTTTACTCTATCACAAAAGTTTATGTATGATATTATCGATGGCATAATTTTCATATCGATAATAATTAATATTTTTTCTTTCAATGATATTTTCAGTTATCAATCATTTTAGCCAACCCTATTGACGAGAACAAGATATTCCTTTAAAATACCATTGAAGAAATTTTATTATGTATTACTCTGTTGACTAATGTCATTCATAAACCAATGATCATTTAACATGCATTATTCAAACACATAACATTAGATTAGTCAATCAGTGATGCCATTTTCAATCTGGTTTACAATGCCCTACATCAAGAATGGGATAGAAATATATACAGAATGTCATACACATTATATGAAACATGTTGATCAGTGTTGAATAAAAATGTGAATAACTTCTACAGTCTGCCAGCACTTAATAGTAGACTTGTAATGACACGTAACCATGGTAACGCAGCACCATGACGACACATTCCTAGTCGCCACCACCCAGCTGCTGGCTACTCTTGGAATACACATATTAATGATAAAATAACAACCAAGAATAAGACAATATAAACATAACAAAACAGATATCACAGACTTACTGGAGTCAAGCCATTCATGGCTGACAATCCGTAGAACCTTCTCAGCAACACAACACCATTAAACACGAGGGTAAAGAGCAATAAACTCACTTTTGTAACTATGAAAAGGTAAATATCGTCCATTTGTTGTTTAATGCCACACTCAGCAATATTCCAGCTGTACTACGATGGTCTGTAAATAATCGAGTCTGTGCCAGACAACCCAGTGATCCACTGCCGGAGCATCAATCGAATGGACAAAAAACAAAACGATGGGATGTCTAAGAAAGGATATAGGAAGGGATATGTTTCTACTTGTCTAGTCTGACCAATTTTGTAACCTATAAAGTTAACCGAAGGGCCAATATTTTGAGAGTAGATATTATCACAATTCTCTCATTATAACTCAGTTTTGCTGATTTTACACTACTCGCAATTTCACCTGCCATTCTGAACAAAATGTAAAGAAGTAGTAAAACTGATGCAGATATTGTATGCAAAAGTTGTTTTTGCACAAAAAGCATATCAAAGACAGAAAGGTGTTACATAGACTTAACAAAAAAACTCACTAGTGTCACAAAACTTGCCTACAAATTTGTAGTTACAATTCTTTAGATAAATCACACTAGGATAAGTATTGTTCTACAATACTGAAACTTGCAACAGCATTGTATGATGTTAAATTTCCAGAAATCTCCCTACCTGGATCCAGATTGGTAAAGAAAGAAATTCTGACTTGCTGACAATCGATAAATACCTCATGGGCAAGACTTTCACAACACAATTTCAGTTTGCTTTAACTTTGAACAGGGTTGAAATCCAAAATCAGTCGTCCAACTTTTTTAGTTTGCAATCAGTAATGATCAGTTATCAGTTAACTAGGCCTTAACTGCAGAAGGTATTGATAAAACAGGCATTTTAGGTGGTGGAGATTTAAAGGGTTGTGTTGATGAAAAGGCTCCATTCATATACAAAACATAAATAAAAACAGGATAGATACACAAACCAGACTAGCGAACATCGGGCATGTCTTACAATCTCTCGCCACTGACTGCAGGTTGTCAAACACACTACCACAGAGATGCAGAGAGGTACAAACATTACCCAGGACATACAACTCTTATGTTAAAATGCACCAATTACTATACCAGTTTTGGAGGCTGTTGGAGTGAGAGGCATGGATCAGTTAGGGTCCAGATAAGTCAGTGAGTGAGTTAGATTTACGCCGCTTTTAGCATTATTCCAGCAATATCACGGCAGGGGACACCAGAATTGGGCTTCACACATCGTACCCATGTGGGGAATCGAACCCGGGTATTCGTTGTGATGAGCGAACGCTTTAACCACTAGGCCACCCCACCGCACCAGATGAGCATCGTGTATAATGAGGAGACAGCTTGTGGAATGCTGTCAGAAGCATTTACAAAACCACGAAGTCATCTGCATTAACAATTCTGTGTTCGAAGTAACGTCCATCTTTACGCAAAACAAGGATCTGTTACAAATTAACAGAATCAGGACGGACAAGAATTCAGCAACAACCATGATGTCAATGTATACAGATACGAAAGAGAGAACCAGATGTCAATACAGAAGGATATTTGGCATGGCATCTAAATGACATCATTAAATACATAGTAATTTGATCAATATTTGGGTAACAGATCATTTACTATATATATTTTTGATTAACTGGAACAGGTGGTGGCAATTATTATTCACATGTTGGTGCAAGTTTTCTCACTGTATAATATTCAAATCCGCTTTTTAAAAAAATATTGAAAAAATTATACAGATATAACCCACTGCAGAGATTGATGAAAAGAGGACCGTTTCAGTATCAAACCTACATCTGATTACTTGTCAGGAAAGTAGAATAATGCTTTAGTACATTGCGACATATTTGTACTGTTAGATTCTGCCCTATGATTCTGTATGCAAGATGTACCCTATATAGTGGTATCTCATCACATCTTATATGCTGGTATGACAAATAATATATTATCAAATATTACCCATGCAGCATCTCACCCGTTGCTAAAAAACATTGACTTTTTCATGAAAATAAATAATGCTACAGTAAGATTATTGCTACATATTTGTTCATATTACATGCTGGAGTGATTCTTGGCAAGATACTTTACTTCAATACAATACAAGCATTTACAGCATAGCATGCAGTAAATGTATCCCGACATCAGGCTTCTTAAATATCAGTCTTTCTTTGAACTTAGAACAAGGATCCCATTCCGAAAACAAAACCGGTTCAGGTTTTCGAAAAACAAAATGGCTGCCCTCATCTGTACCCAAAACAATACACAATTGTGTAAGTTTGTATTCAATCTGAAATCCATTCAAAGAGTTTGGTTTCAATGAAATAAAGTAAAAGCATAAAGACAAGAATGATAAAAGAAGAAATTATGTCTTGAAATTAAATACATTTGATCTTTGATTACACAATGCCATTTGGGAATTATTATTTATATGCTACATTTGATCTTGCTGATGATTTGTAGCCAAACAGAGATGTAAAAGTACATAATCCTGCAAGTCCTACAGTGTAAATTGGTAGATATTTTGTGGTACACAACTAGGGCTGTTACGATTCCTTCATTGAATTGAACCATATCCTTTCGTGAATTCAATGAATTATTTCTTTGTTACACTCAGGATATATACTTTATCTGCACTTCATGTTACATTCCTGCTCAACAACGGTGAAAGAATCTTATCGAAATGTCGCACTCATGTATTAAAGAAGTTGCTATCCATAGAGTTTGCCTGTAGACATATAGAAAGACTGATATTCATGAATTATGGACGAGAGATACGAAACGACAGCTATATGCAGAGATGCCAACCATAATTTAGCCCAAATAGTATTTTGGCCAAAAACTGTTGCAAAAACTAGTATTTTTGGGCAAAATTTAGTATTAACCTTTCCAAAGAATTTTCATATTTAATACAGAATACATAGATATTCTAAGAACTTGTTATTAACATTGTACTCACCTAAATCAATAGTAAGTGTCCACATATTACTTAATGCTGAATAAAATGTGTTTGCAATTTATCGTGTATGGTACATATAATAATAATAATAATAATAATGCATTTGTTTAAGCGCCTAATGTCCAACAAGTGCTGCTCAGTGGCGCTGTGCTATTGATAGTTTAATGTATTTTTCTTAAAATCGTACATTTTACTACTATCGTAGTCACATATTTTGTGTTGTTTTTTCGTAACGAATACAATAAAATCGTATGAGTTGGCATCTCTGTATATGGTATAATCATATCGTGATAGTATAAAATATACAAAACCTGTCATGATATGCATAATAAATATTACACCATGAAAACTATTGTTTGATCATGGATTTTCTCCATCTTTGATTTACATTACCTTGCAAAGCTATGTCAATAGCAAGTTCTGCACTCTCACCAATACATACATCCTCGATAATCTCCAGGGTATACGTTACAATCACTCTCAACTATACCCTGGATGCATCCACACACACACACGCACACACGCACACACGCACGCACGCACGCACGCACACACACACACACACACACAATCTCCTTTGTTGTTTTTTTATCCAATGAGGTGTCTACGCTGGGAAATTGAGCCAACCAATCACAACTCACTTTCGCTTCTTAATTATCTAACAGATTAAACTTGGCAACACAATTGTTGCAGAGATACTCTGAAAGACGTAGAAGGAGTTCTTTTATATATTTTTTGAAAGTTTCAGATCTGTCAATTTGTCTGTATTATTTCTCCAAAAATATGAGTGGTACTGCGAACAAACCTTCGTGACTGCAACTGCTATCTTTGTTCACACTGGCAAGCTCGTATGTAATGGCGGCTTAGCTGATTGGCTACTGTGAGATTGCAGAGCCAGCAAAGGGAAGTAATAAAATCATCGGGCCAAGCCGTGGATGCAACAAGGGTATAGTGGAGAGTGATCGTAACGTATACCCTGGAGATTATCGAGGATGCAATACATATTGATAACTAACAATAAATTATTAGTCTTGAAATAGCCGTGAATAGCTGCAAAGTTGCTCATGCGGCTTAAAGCAGGGTTAACTCTCTCTCATTCGGTCTTGAAATCAAACAAGAATATAGTACCAACATCACGTTTGGACATTTCACCATCACAGATATACAAAGTGGATCAACTTGGCCACACATACTTCTTGTATGCTGAATTTCAAACTAGCTAATATAGGATCTACAAATAGATTAATATTCTAAATAGCTAGGTTGTCATCATACACAAACTAGCACATTTATTCGTCTGTAAACTAGTTGAGAGGAATGTATCACATGGGAAGACATAGTAAGTTGAGAGGCAAGTATCAGATGGTTGACTTGAGAACCTGGAACCGCTTGAGTGACATTCTGACCGATCCTAGCTCCTTGTCCACTTGGTCCAGTCTCCCTTCCAGCTCACCCTGGAACCAAACACACAAGTCAGCATGGGTCGACAATTACAGAGAAAATCCAAGTCAAATGAACCAAATATTTGCTTTTGATATAATTTCAAAATTTCAGGTCCATCTGTAATGAGAGACAATGTCTGTAAATAATCGTTTCTGGACCAGACAATCCAGTAATCAACAGCACGAGCACTGATCTACACAATTGGGATATGATGACACGTGTCAACCAAGTCAGCAAGTTTTACCACCTTTTCCTCTGTCGTCTCTTACAATAAGCACAGGTTGCTAAAGAACAATTCTCATATAGATCTTCATAGGGAGGTGAGGTGAAATTGGGTTTAACGTCGTACTTGAGAATATTTCGCTCATATGACGACGTGCATGCTTGTGTATGTGTGTGTGCGGCTGCTTGTACTAGCCCAGACTGAAGCTGGTTTTATAGTGCTAGCCCACTGAGATACCATGCCGCAGTGAAGCATGAATACCCCACTCAGACAAATTATTCTGACTCCAAGCCGACCAGTCCTTGTTGTACCCATTAATGCCGAGCGCCAGGCAGGGACCAACAAGTACAATATTTTAACGTCTTTTTGTATGACGCAGTCGGGGATCGAACCCGCGACCTTCCGCTCTCCAGATCTTCATAGGGAACATCTACATACAGATTCATAGGTCACAGTGCGCATTGTTTACTTCTGAATGTTATCGAGTTGTCTGCCATGAAACATATGAAACAAACAGAGATGCCAACCCTGAATCTAAGGAAAACGGAGTCATGACTGGCTGAAAGCCAGGCCTGAGCACCAAAGGTGTGAGTTGGGGGTGAGAGCATGGTCGACTCTGCCAGTTTGTTTCACTTTCATACAGACTATGACATGCATTCAGAAAAACTTTGAGAAACTTCATCACCAATAACACACAATATACACAATCGACACCCAAAGGATCACACGCTAAACTTCTGAAAGCTTTTACCAGTGTTCACTCAAATAAATCACCGCTGACTTGCGAAATTGTATACCATAAAGAGAAAGCGAAGAGCAGATTTTGTATTTGAAAATCAGGGAAACTCTGCCAAAATCGGAGTGGTTGGCATCTCTAGAACAAATACTGACAAGGTCCTGAGTATGTTTTCCATGCTCACATCATTACACAAGCCATGTGCTTCTTGCAAAGACATTACCATTACCAAAATTACATACCTGGTCTTGAATCATTTTCCTGTTACGACCGTGAATTGGAATTTTGATTAGCGCAGACTCCAGCTGAAAACATACACCAAAATCACCTTCATGCAAATTATAAGATTTATATTAGCAAAATTTCACTGAATTCAGGTTCCATTTTACAATGTGTGCACAGCAAATTGAAGACTGGTTCCCCAGTTACAAGAATGATTTTTTGCTATGTGGGGTATAACTGGAAAATGTTAAACAGTGTACAGTACCTTTCTTTTCTCAGCTTGCAAATCATCGTAGTGTCGTTCTAGTTTGTCAACAGCCTGAAGCCGTTCTCTCAGTCGCTCCTCTCGAGTCTGAAACACCAGGCAAGTGAAGGATAAAACAATAACAGTATTGACGTTGAGTGAGGTGAGGTGAGGTGAAATTGGTTTTTACGTCGAGCTTGAGAATATTTCGCTCATATGACGACGTGCAGGCGTGTGTATGTGTATGTGCGGCTGCTTGTACTAGCCCAGACTTAAGCTGGTTTTATAGTGCTAGCCCACTGAGATACCATGCCGCAGTGAAGCATGAATACCCCACTCAGACACATTATACTGACTCCGAGCCGACCAGTCCTTGTTGTACCCATTAATGCCGAGCGCCAGGCAGGGACCAACAAGTACCATATTTTAACGTCGTTTGGTTTGACGCGGTCGGGGGATCGAACCTGCGACCTTCCGCTCTCCGGGCGGACGCTCTAACCACTACACCACGGAGGCGGTCAACGTTGAGTGAGTGAGTGAGTGAGTGAGAGGTTTTACACTGCTTTTAGCAATATTCCAGCAATATTACCGCGGGGGACACCAGAAATGAGCTTCACACATTGTACTCAGGTGGGGAATCGAGCCCGGGTCTTCAGCGTGATGAGCAAATGCTTTAACCACTAGGCTACCCAACCTGAGTAAGGGAGTGAGTGAGTCTATAATTCTAAAAATACTACCTTAATGACTTGCTAGCCATAAATACCCGTTTTAGCTGTCAATCACAATATGATCTTTTACAATTCAAACAGATGTCCTCTTTACTGCCAACATGTCTAATAGCTGTGATGAAAAACCTTTTACATGAAATGCCATAACAGAGGGTTTGCAAGATCTGCAAGCATCTTATCAGAGCGAAAGGTCTAACAAAAAAAACCCACAAGACAACTGAGAAGAAGTTTTACTACCATGTTCTGTCTGGGAGACGTCTGAGATTTGGCTGGTCGTGCCATGGATGTGTCTATGTCCTCCCACTGTGGCCGAGACACGTAATTCCCTGATCGAACCTTTTCCAGGGTGCTCTCTACAGACTTGCCTCCTGTGAAAAATTGAAAAGATTCATTGAGCATTTCAAATATAGTGAGTGAGTGAGTGAATCCCTGCAGGATACAAGAAATGAGCTTCACACATTGTACCCACATGGGGAGGTGAGGTGAGGAAGGTGAGGTCTTTGGTGAGTGAAATGAGCGTCGTGGTTTGAGAATATTAAACCACTAGGTCAAATATGCATATCAGTTGCTTGGTCATACAGGTAAACAGTTTCTAAGCTTCAGATGAGTGAGTGGAGTGAGTGAGACACATTATGCTGACTCGACGCCAGTCCTTGATGTACTCATTAATATTCCAGCTATACCAACAATTACCATACGGGGACATCAGAATGGCCGGGTTTCACATATTGTACCCATGTGGGGAATAGAACCCGGGTCTTCGGCGTGAGGAATGAACGCTTTAAGCTTCAGGAAATCTGCCAATATTTCATGTTTCTCTGCACTGCCACTCCAGTGTAGTGGACAGAGGTTCTGTCCAGAGACCAGATGGTCAGTCTGCCAGCCACATCATACCAACAGATGTTGAAAGATGTTTTGTTTTTATTGCTTGTTTGTTTGTTTTATGTTGAACCCAGTCTCTTCCATCTCTATGATTGCGGTCTATAAATAATCAAGACAACCCAGTGATCAACAGCATGATCATCAATCTACTCAATTGGGATACCATGACATTTGTCGACCAAGTCAGCAAGTCCGTCCACCCGATCCCATTAGTAGCCTCTTACGAAAAGCACAGGTTGCTGAATAGGGGTGGGTATTGAAGACGATATTGCGATCCGGAAGATATTGCCATATGGGTTTGCAATATGTTGCAAGGATTATGTTGTTAACAAAACTACTTGCCTCGGTTAGTGGTTGATTATAGCCAAAACAGTAAACTCACTATGAGATTAACCTTTTTAAAAATCTTAATCATGACAAAATAAAGTAAGTAGTCTAAGTAACATTTGGCACTAATGAAACAGGGAAAGAACAATTCAAAAACGGAATATCTGAAGATTTCCAAGCGTTATGAAGTTTTCTCCGAATGCATGTCAAAATACGGTTTTCAATCAATATTCCACCAAGATCGTTTTCATGTCTGAACCGGTTATATTGCGCAGCCCTATTGCTGAAGACCAATTCTTTCCTGGACCTTCATGGGTTTGAAATATGGAACTTGTTGTTACTTTGCCTGGCACTTGTCACTCATAAAATAAAACAAGCAGTGGTGTGGTCAGAAACAGTACACTATGTGAGTGTCTTGCACTACAGAACTGCCAGTAGTCTGGACTAAAACAAGCACACCTTTCCACACAAACTCAGAGAGACATGCACCCATCAACCTGCCCCTCAAGCATTGACATCTATGTAAAAGAATCTTGAACATTATGTGAAGTGAGCGAGTTTGGGTTTACGCTGCTTTTAGCAATATTCCACCAATATCATGGTGGGGGACACCAGAAATGGGCTTCACACATTGTAGCCAATGGTGGAAATCAAACCCAGGTGTTCAGACTGACGAGCAAATGCTTTAACCATTAGGCTATCCCACCGCCCTCACTATGTTAAGCGTATGCTCACGATGTTGATCACTGGATTGTCTGGTCCAGACTCGATTATTCACAGATTGTTGCCATATAGCTGGAATATTGCTGAGTGCAGTGCTAAAAAGCCAACCAACCAAACCAAACCAAACCCTACGGGCTGCGTCTCCCACCATGTTTGTCTAACTCACCTAGGTTGCTTCTGGACAATGCCTCCACAGCAGCAGGAACTGCCTGCTCTGACTTTGCTCGTGACAATTTGTCTTTGGTGCTCTTCTGGTTGCTATCATGACCATTGGTCAAGTTGTTCAGACTAACATCCAACCTCGTTGGAGTGGATTGTTCCTTCGGCTGCAGTTTCAGTTTGGTTCGCTTGGGAGACAGGATGCCATTGTGAGTTCCTACCGAATTGATTTGAGTATCTGACCGAGACATATTCCGACTCTGATTTTTGGGTTTGGGTGAGTTTGATAACTTTCCGGCGAGGTATTTTTGTTTAGATCGTGACGAATCAAGCTTTGAGCTGGAGGCAGCCTCTCTGTACCGACCTGGATAGGCCACTTCACTGCCGTAAAATTTCTTCTGGAGTTTAGGCTGAAAGCCTTCCCTGAAGCTGCTGGTGGAGTCTGTCTGAAGTCTGCGTAGTTCCCTCTCAGCCTTCAGTAGCGGTGAGGGGCCGCTGTCACTGTCAACATCTGACTCGGGAGATGATTCGACTCTTCTGTGACCCCCCGGTTCGCTCACATATAATCTGCTGATACAAGTAACAGCATTAATAGACAGTGTACTTGCCTTGGTGACTGACTAAAAGATTATAACAGTTGTTATTGACCCTGAATTTAGTGATGATGCAACCTCTAATTTCCAAATCGGTGAAGAGATCCCAGAATGCTGACACCAGTGTACAGGACTTGCAAAGTCGTTTGACATGTTTAATGGGCATTGTCACCGTGGGGGACACCTGAACTGGGCTTCACACATTGTACCCATGTGGGTATCGAAACCCGGATCTTTGGTGACGTGGCTTAATGCTTTAATTACAAGGCTAACTCACCACCCCAGTTTAACGTGAACGTCAGGGACCAAGTATGCACAGATAACTGACACCAGTACACAGGACTTGCAAAGTAACTGAATGTGCCCTTCAGGGACCAAGTATCTACAGGTAAGTATCAGTCCAAATGCAAGGCATTTATGTGCGTAGCAATGACCGAGCATGTGAAAAACTGTTTTGTAGTTGGAATTAAAAATACACATGTTCAAGAGGCCATCATGTTTAAAGATACTGAATTAATTCAACACCTAAATCAGATTTCCACAATATTTAGAGACATCTTGATACTGAAATGAGGGTTGCCCATATCACAATGTTAAAGTACCTTTCCATGGACATATACGGAGCTGAAGTCCTCCCATTGATTATCTCCCCTTGATTTGGTTCCGCTGAGCGATGGCTTTCGCTATATCCATATGAGTCTTCATAACTGGTCTTTGCTGAAGCCATACTGTGAACAGAAATACTATATTATAAGTTGTTCACTGGTCTCTAGGGGGACATGGGCTGATGTACCATGATGTTTATGTTCCCTGAGCCCGAAGGGCGAGGGGAACATAAAGAAACATCGAGGGTACATCAACCCATGGGCCCGGAGGGACCAGTGAACAACGTATTTGTGTTACCGAGCACCTCATTGGTAAGTTTAAACTGATTGCAGCACAGGTATCAGATCATAGCATGGAGGACAAGGAAAACAAATTTAGAGTTATCTCCCTTCCATCGATTTGCATTCGCAAAACGTGGTAATTTCCGTACATCATACATGATTCAATGTTATTCGAGATAAAGAATTACTACTACGAAGTAACGAATGAGTTGCCATTGACAGCGAGGTACATAGAAAATGTTACTCGCTTGTAAGCGGGGTACATTGGAAATAATAGAAGAGCGTTCAGCCAATCAGAAAACGACACTGATGTGAGAGGCCAGATAATAAAGCTTGGCAGGTGGGTGGGTTGCAGTAAAGGTATGGCTATCATTGTATACTGTGGTGTAAAAGGGTCACAAACTTTCTGATGTTCTTATTGTCTCTAATGGAATACTATAATCAAACATGCAGAAATTTAACCTTCAAACTTCACAACACTTCAGGTTATGCCTAATCCCAAGAAGAAATAGAAATTTGAAAATTCCTTTCAATCTTTGGCCAAAAATGTTTATCCCTCGCCCCTTGCTCCCTCCATCCTTCTTCCTTCCTCCCATCCATCATCTTTCTTTCTTCCACCCATCATCTTTCTTTCATCCATCCATCCATCTTCCATCATCTTTCTTCCATCCATCCATCCATCATCTTTCTTTCTTCCACCCATCATCTTTCTTCCATCCATCTTCCATCATCTTTCTTTCTTCCATCCATCCATCATCTTTTTTCATCCATCCATTCATTCCATCCATCCATCCATCATCTTTCTTTCTTCCACCCATCATCTTTCTTCCATTCATCCATCCATCATCTTTCTTTCATCCATCCATCCATCTTCCATCATCTTTCTTTCTTTCTTTCTTCCATCCATCCATCATCTTTTTTCATCCATCCATTCATTCCATCCATCCATCATCTTTCTTTCTTCCATCCATCCATCCATCATCTTTCTTCATCCATCCATTCCATCATCTTTCTTCCATCCATTCCATCCATCATCTTTCTTCCATCCATTCATCCATTCCATCCATCCATCCATCCTCACTATACACATAGAGGTGAACATCACTAACCTTAGTGCAATCGCTGCCTTGTGTTTCAAGTTCTCATTCTCCCTCGCAAGCTGTTTGCTGTGAAGCTCCAACTTGGAAATAGTCCTGAAATTCACACAGAGTCAGCATTAGTTTTTAGTGTTTCTTGTTTAACGCAATATTGCAGCTTTATGACAGCAGTCTGTAAATAATCGAGTCTGGACCAGACAATCCAGTGATTCACAGCATGAGCATTGACTACTCAATTGGGATACGATGACATGTGTCAACCAAGTCAGCGAGCCTGACCACTCGATCATGTCAGTCGCCTCTTACAACAAGCATGGGTTGCTGAAGATCAATTCTAACCCTGATCTTTAAGATTGAAATGCAGAAGGATTTCAAATATTACTGCCATGTTCACATTGATTTAACTTAAATGTACTGTGCCAGTGTGAAATGTGCCATGACAGATTGTGAGTCAGGTATTCCTTAACTTCCATCAAACAGTTTACATACCGCCAGGTAACACCACTTACTTATCACGATCTGCCACCTCTTGGCGAGACAGCTGTAGCTTCCTATCACTGTCCCCCAAACGCCCCTGAAAGATGTAAGTGACTAGTTACCACCACAATCATAATAGGCTATAAACATAATAAAGGCCATCATTTGTGACTTGATAACCTAACAAACAGTTCAAATAATGGCAGAAATTGTAGTTGTGCTTCATGCATTACAAGAGATATACAAGCATTATTCCAGCTATATGGCGGCGATCTGTAAATAGTTGTGCTTCATGCATTACAAGAGATATACAAGCATTATTCCAGCTATATGGCGGCGATCTGTAAATAATCCAGTCTGGACCAGACAACCCAGTGATCAACATCAAGAGCATCGATCTACGCAATTGGGATACGATGACATGTGTCAACCAAGTCAATATATACAAGCATGGCAAAAATATTTCATAAACATTACAATCAGGTGTTGGTATGGATAAGTGAGTTTGCCAAGAATACTGTCTCAAGTGATCTGTTATCGTAATGATTTAGCATCTTTTAGCCTCAATGTCTAATCTGGTACTTCCTGTATTTTGAGCTACTCATTTATCAACACAAGTCAATTACGAAACTATCAATAGTCACACATACTATCGATGCATCGATAGTTTTTCCTTTCTACCATCGATTATTTGCTATTGGAGACTCAACAACTGTAATCCATTCATAGTTTGATACATCGTTACAGCCCTACTGCTAACATGTATCACAATGTGTTTGAAAAATATCTGTATATTTCATTTCTCAAAATCATGCAGATTTTCATCCTAATAAAAAGTAATGTTCTATAGCGCACAGTCTCCAAACAACAAGTGATTGCTTGCGGCGCTTTATCAGAATCTGATTATTATTACCCCGGATAACCCAAGCTGCCTTTGAGGCGCTAGAAGGTTATAGTCACATGACATATCCCACCGGGTACCCATCTTCTGCTGGGTGAACAGAGGCAATTTTGAACAAACTCACTTGCCTAAGGTGAGACCACATGTATCACTAACGGCAGGTTTTATATGAGTGACAAGTCGAATTGAAATTTTCAAATTCAGAATTTAGCACGATTCCAGCGATGAAATAGGGAAACTATTCCTGACCAGCATTCCGTATATAATGTCTGTTATTATATTGTCTAATATGAGCAGGGAAGGTTCCATGGATATTTTTTCTTAATACGAAACAATCTACAGATGAAAGAACATATGCAATATATTGTAGACCATTCTATAATACAAGAATCATTATTGCAACAAACTGCAATACAAAATTCAAGCCAATACCATCACTAGAAATTAATGAAGATTTTATTACCCTCAAAATATCATGTTCTCTTTCCAAATCATCGTACTTGTCGAGCAACTGCAATTGTAAAAGACATATGGTTAAAATAGTATCACACTGCATAATACATGACTTTCAATAGTCAAGCTGAATTTGCCAAGCAGAAACTAACTGAATTTATGAATGAAAATGTCAGTTTAAAAGCAGGAATCTACCAAAACCTGCTTTCAGACATAAAGTAAAGTGAGTTTTTCTGTAGATAATGAAGCTATGAATATCAGTCTCACATTGCTCATACATAATCGTCTTTTGTCAGTGACACTGTTAGTGATAGGATTGTTCATAACATGGTGCAGTTAATATTTTGACGGTGCAAACTGATTAATTCACTTGGCTGCATGAATTCGTCCCTTGCCACAACAAAATTAATCCACTCACTCTCGATTTGTTGCATTAAAAATGTTCCAGGTTCTCATAATTAGCACTCAAAATTTATTGGGACTGTCTAGTTTGGAATTTGTGAGGCTATTTCTACATAAAGTGAGTACATACTTCATAGTTTGGTTTCTCCATAATGGTTTCCGTAGTACATCTACACTAACAATTCAGACAGACTGACCATCCATGTCTGACCCCACCCACTAACTGTTCTGATGACAGCGTGTAAGTACATACCCACTTGAGAGCCTGCACTAACAAATCAGACGGACTGACCATCCTTGCCTGACCCCACCCACTAACTGTTCTGATGACAGCGTGTAAGTACATACCCTCTTGAGAGCCTGCACTAATAAATCAGACAGACTGACCATCCTTGCCTGACCCCACCCACTAACTGTTCTGATGACTGTAGGCACATACCCTCTGAGAGCCTGCACTAACAAATCAGATGGACTGACCATCCATGCCCTGACTCCACCCACCAACTGTTCTGATGACAGCGTGTTAAGTACATACCCTCTTGAGAGCCTGCACTAATGAATCAGACAGACTGACCATCCATGCCTGACCCCACCCACTAACTGTTCTGATGACAGCGTGTAAGTACATACCCTCTTGAGAGCCTGCACTAATGAATCAGATGGACTGACCATCCATGCCTGACCCCACCTTCCAACTGTTCTGATGACAGCATGTTAGTACATACCCTCTTGAGAGCCACCACTAACAAATCAGACAGACTGACCATCCATGCCTGACCCCACCCACTAACTGTTCTGATGACAGCGTGTAAGTACATACCCTCTTGAGAGCCTGCACTAATGAATCAGATGGACTGACCATCCATGCCTGACCCCACCTTCCAACTGTTCTGATGACAGCATGTTAGTACATACCCTCTTGAGAGCCTGCACTAACAAATCAGACAGACTGACCATCCATGCCTGACCCCACCCACTAACTGTTCTGATGACAGCGTGTAAGTACATACCCTCTTGAGAGCCTGCACTAATGAATCAGACAGACTGACCATCCATGCCTGACCCCACCCACTAACTGTTCTGATGACAGCGTGTAAGTACATACCCTCTTGAGAGCCTGCACTAATGAATCAGACAGACAGACCATCCTTGCCTGACCCCACCCACTAACTGTTCTGATGACAGTGTGTAAGTACATACCCTCTTGAGAGCCTGCACTAATGAATCAGACAGACAGACCATCCTTGCCTGACCCCACCCACTAACTGTTCTGATGACAGTGTGTAAGTACATACCCTCTTGAGAGCCTGCACTAATGAATCAGACAGACAGACCATCCTTGCCTGACCCCACCCACTAACTGTTCTGATGACAGTGTGTAAGTACATACCCTCTTGAGAGCCTGCACTAATGAATCAGACAGACAGACCATCCTTGCCTGACCCCACCCACTAACTGTTCTGATGACAGCGTGTAAGTACATACCCTCTTGAGAGCCTGCACTAATGAATCAGACAGACAGACCATCCTTGCCTGACCCCCACCCACTAACTGTTCTGATGACAGTGTGTAAGTACATACCCTCTTGAGAGCCTGCACTAATGAATCAGACAGACAGACCATCCTTGCCTGACCCCACCCACTAACTGTTCTGATGACAGCGTAAGTACACATACCCTCTTGAGAGCCTGCACTAATGAATCAGACAGACAGACCATCCTTGCCTGACCCCACCCACTAACTGTTCTGATGACAGTGTGTGGTACATACCCTCTTGAGAGCCTGCACTAATGAATCAGACAGACAGACCATCCTTGCCTCGACCCCACCCACTAACTGTTCTGATGACAGCGTGTAAGTACATACCCTCTTGAGAGCCTGCACTAATGAATCAGACAGACAGACCATCCTTGCCTGACCCCACCCACTAACTGTTCTGATGACAGCGTAGTAAGTACATACCCTCTTGAGAGCCTGCACTAATGAATCAGACAGACAGACCATCCTTGCCTGACCCCACCCACTAACTGTTCTGATGACAGCATGTTAAGTACATACCCTCTTGAGAGCCTGCACTAATGAATCAGACAGACTGACCATCCATGCCTGACCCCACCCACTAACTGTTCTGACAACAGCATGTAAGAACATACCCTCTTGAGGGCCTGCACTAATGAATCTGACGGACTGACCATCCATGCCTGACCCCACCCACTAACTGTTCTGATGACAGCGTGTAAGTACATACCTTCTTGAGAGCCTGCACTAACAAATCAGACAGACTGACCATCCATGACTGACCCCACCCACTAACTGCTCTGATGACAGCGTGTAAGTACATACCCTCTTGAGAGCCTGCACTAACAAATCAAACAGACTGACCATCCATGCCTGACCCCACCCACTAACTGTTCTGATGACAGCATGTAAGTACATACCCTCTTGAGAGCCTGCACTAACAAATCAGACAGACTGACCATCCATGCCTGACCCCACCCACTAACTGTTCTGATGACAGCATGCAAGTACATACCCTCTTGAGAGCCTCTTTGTCCCGCCTGCTGCTCTCCGTCAACTCCTGCTGATGCTGTAACACAAGCACACATAGCTACAGCCTTACAAGTAACTTAATGCAATTGAAAAACAACCCAAAGAGCTTTTCACAATCTACTGCATCTGTTTGACCTCGGACCATGCAGATGTTTATTCACATGTATTAATGATGCAGAGCAGAATAAAATGAACACCTGTAAACATCCTCAAAAAGCAATATTTAGATATTATGGCATGACATATTGCATTTCTTAGATACTGTTGAAAATGCATGGTTACCATGAAAACGCTTTAAATCCCATGTGTCTTCACATTTACCATCCTGAACTATAGTTGTGAAGGAAGCAGTATCTGTGATGATTCTGATGATACCAAACGCATCATGATGGACACATGATGCAATCTGCAGTTTTAAATGACAGAGATAAAACTGTGACGTTGACCTTGACCTCCAACATGGATCGATGAAAGTGTTTGGAACAACACATTCTCAAAAATGATAAAATATCTATTCATACTAAAGACTGATCCATTAATATGTTGCAGTGGTGCTATTTCTAAAATAACATGGTTACCATGGAAACACCTCCAAAAGATTTGTTGCCTGACACACTTTAAGTCTGGCAACACTGGTATTGGAAAACCAGAATTTCCAAGCTTTCCAAATAACCAAAACATCTTGCCATACCTCAAGTAGATCTATCACCTTTATTTTTAAGAGCTATATAGAGATATTCTTCCCCCATAAACGTTTCTGGTTTGTAAAAATATATCCTAGGTGTACGATTCCCCTAACAGTTGAAGGAATAGATCATCTACATTGAATTTTCCAGAGGGAATCAATAACCAAGGTATATTATTCAAAGAAAATAATGAACCAGGGGAAATGAACCCTCTATTACACATACACCATTAAGAGAAAATATAATCATCAAATTTGTAAAACCACTGTCATGGACAAGGAATTACCAACCTTGTATGCATCTTTCAGAGCCTGGGTTTGCTGTCTGTTTGTAGACTCCAGATCCCTATACTGACTGTCCTTGTCCTTGACGTAGGAGTGAAGTTCGTCTACCCGTCCTCGTAGCTTCAACACTGTTCGCTGCGACTCGTCATAGCGAGTCGAGTAATCAGTCTGAGGAGAGAAAATCTACATTACTATCCACTGGGGAGGAGACAATTCACTTCAGCATCAAAATACTTGGTTACTATATAGGACATACTTGGACATTGTGTATGACAATACTTGGATACTGTGTAGGACAGTACACCACTTGTGTAGGACAATACTTGGATACCGTATGGCATTACTTGGGACACTGTGTAGGACAGTACTCTGCTTGTGTATGACAATACTTGGACACTGTATGACAATACTTGGACACTGTGTAGGACAGCACACTGTTAGTGTTTCACAATACTTTAACACTGCTTACGACAATACTTGGACAGTGTATGACAATACTTGGAAACTGTGTAGGACAGCACTCTGTTAGTGTATGTTTGTATACAGTGTATGACAATGTCTGGCTCATGTGTATGACAATACTTGGCTTGAGTGCATGACTACTTGGATAGTATGTATGAGAATACTTTATACAGAATGGTTGATAATGCTTGGATACTTGAGTATCTAAGACAATAAAACACAGATATGCTACACTGAATAGACAACAAACATACAGTACATGTAGTAAAGCACTTACTGCACGGATTTCTAAACCTTGTAATTTTTGTTCTAGGTCCCTTATTCGCCTGAAAGAAGAAAAGTAACCTGTTTTTAACTCCAGAGATTAACTGTACATGATGTTGGTAGCAACAACATACACTACACAAAGGACAATATGATTCTTTCTCATCACTATAGTTATGCATAACAGATTGTTACAGGAAAGAATGAGGCGTTGTATTATTTCTTCTGAGAAGTATACCACCTCGACATACATCACATACATCATCATCATCATCATCATCATCATCATCATCATCATCATCACTGGTCCATTTCTTCAAAATAATATTGTGTTCACTAAATAATGATTACCAATTGCTGAGAAAGCATATTTAACATTAATTTGCAAAACATATATTTCAGCTTCTATCATCACAGAGTATGTTCTGCAGGTTGAAATGCAAAAAAAGTGAATTTTACATGAAGCCATCAGTATATAACAGAAAAAATGTAATTGTTACTGACACTTTGGCATCATGTAGTTGATCGTCTAAGCTCTGACACCGAAGTTTAAGTTCTTGACTCTCTTCTCGCAGGATTCGTTCGTGTGCAGATTCACTGGATGTATGTGTAGCACTTAGTGATGACCTCAGTTCTGCCATTTCCGCCTCGTAGTATTCCCGCAGGTCAGACAGGTGCTTGGCGTGCTTCTCTCGCAGGTTGATTCGGGTACTGGGAAAAAACAACAATGCCAGTGTAAAATCTTACATATCGCATTTATCACTTACATACGCTGGGTTTTTCTTAACCATGTTAATGCGGGTTTGATTTGTTTATGCAATGTAGAGCGATGCTCATGATGTTGATCACTGGATTGTCTTGTCCAGACTTGATTATTTACAAACAGCTGCCATATAGCCGAGAGCAGCATTAAACCACATAAACTAGTGCAACCTATTACAGAGATGCCAACCCTATTTTGGGCCTACCTAAGTGTAATACCTGAGGTCAAAAAGTGTAATTTGGACCTAAAAAGTGTAATACTTAAAAGAAAATACTTAGTGAAAGGTGATAACTTTATAAAAAGTAGTTGTAAGAAGGTTTATTCACATGTATAGGAAATATTCTAGACAGAAATACATGTGACCAATCATTATGAAGCTCCATACACGAAAATTGTTGGTCAGGGGACACAAAATACTTTAATTCCTTATAAGTTAATTGGAATAAGCGCGATGCTAACAGTAAGACCATTTCTGAACCACTGTACCGGTGCGTTACGAAACACTTCCCTGTGATTTTTTTTCCACTTTATGAAGTTTCTTAAAACGAGTAGAAAGCGTAAGTTTCGCAGATTAAGTGTAATGGCGTAATATAAAGGTCAAAATCGTAATAATTACGCCCAAAGTGTAAGGGTTGGCATCTCTGCTATTATTGATCAGTGCAATCTCATACTTATGTCCATATGCATTGACAGCGTGAAACAAAATTCTGACCCTATAGATGGCCCTATAGAAGAACCTATGTCTGTTGTGAGAGACGACTGACTGACTGACTGAGTTTGGTTTTACGCCGCTTTTAGCAATATTCCAGCAACATCACGGCGGGGGACACCAGAAATGGGCTTCACACATTGTGCCCATGTGGGGATTCGAACCCGGGTCTTCGGCTTGACGAGCCAACGCTTTAACCATTAGGCTACCCCACCGCCCGTGAGAGACGATCAAATAAGGGGCCGTTCATAACTTTTGTCTCGGGGGGTGGGGGGTGGGTGATGATTTTTATCGAGAAGCATGTATTTGTGAATGACCCCACCCCCCACCCTAAAATTATGCATAAAGGAAGTGATCGCCCCTGCATGTCATGTACAAAATCAATGACCCCCATCCCCATAATTTTTAAGCATAACATTTTAATATTTTTATGTACAAATTGCTGACCCCTCCTACCTCCCCAGAACAAAATTGGTAAGCCCCCATTAAAATCATCATCACCCCCCTAGCCATAAATTATGAACGATCCCTAAGGTCAGACTTGACAACATTCACCACCCAAATGTGATTCTGGTGAAGACCTGTTGCGGTCATAAGAGCTGACCAAATCTGGTAAATCTTGCTGCCGTGGTTGATAATTAGTACGACATCACACCCCGATGGTGAAGATCATTGTTCACAATATCAATCAATTGATCTTCTGATCCTGAGTCGTTCATGTCACCGGAATATTACGGAGTGACAAATGAATGAATGACAAAGAGACATTCAGCAATCAGCGGGAGTCTAATAATTACATAGACCACATCTGATTCAGACAATTATGATAATCTCGACAGATATCATGAGCAAATAACCTTGAGATGAAGGTACAATAGTATGCAACCAACTAAGTCATGATTACATGCAGCTGCTCCTACCCGACCAGGGGGCGTTGGGGTAGCCTAGTGGTTAAAGCGTTCGCTCGTCACGCCGAAGGCCCGGGTTCGATTCCCCACATGGGTACAACTATTTCTGGTGTCCCCCGCCGTGATATTGCTGGAATATTGCTAAAAACGGCGTAAAACCATACTCAGCCAGCCAGCCAGCCTACCCGACCAGCATTGGTTGCTGGGGTCGAATTCATATCCAGAATCCCCATGGAGGTTGGTTGGTCGGTTGTGTGACTGACTGACTGACTGACTGAGTTTGTTATCGTCAGAAACATCACAGATACTGCTTCCTTCAAAACTATAGTTCAGGACTGACTGACTGAATGAGTTTGGTTTTACGCCGCTTTTAGCAATATTCCAGCAACATCACGGCGGGGGACACCAGAAATGGGCTTCACACAATGTACCAATGTGGGGATTCAAACCCGGATCTTCGGCGTGACGAGCCAACGATTTAACCACTGGGCGACCCCACTGTAACACCACATTCAACAACATTGCAGAAATATGACAGTAGTCTGTCTGGACCAGACAATCCAGTGATCAACAGCATGAGCATTGACCTACCAGTATGTAATTGCGATATGATAACATATGTCAACCAAGTCAGTGAGCCTGACCACCCGATCCCGTAAGTGGCCTCTTATGACAAGCATGGTTACTGAAGACCAATTCTAACCCAGGTCTTCATGGATCCATGAGGGCTGGAGACAGGATTACCTCATTGACAGCTGACTATCGACAAACAGGGAGTCTCCCATCAACACAGACTCCTCTCCCCGGTGGGACAGATCCGGACGGAGACGCACATCAAAAGGGCGCTCTGCAGCAGAACTGGGTCGGTGCTCATGCATTGGCGGGGGGCTAGAGTGCTGACTTTCTGACAAGGATTTCTTTGAAAATGACAATGACTGAAAATGAGAGATTTCAATTTTTCAAAACATGAAGGAGAATAATCAGGATAACCATAATACCAGAGGAACAAAGTACGTCAAAGACCAGAAAGACATGAAGAAGGAATTGTTTGATGGGTATACAGTCAGACCGCGTTAGTCCGGACCCCGATAATTCGATTCCCACGATATCCAAACGGTAGCTAGCTGTAACCAATCTTGTTTACTATGTGAGGTGAGGTGAGGTGAGGTGAGGTGAGGTGAGGTGAGGTGAGGTGAGGTGAGGTGAAATGGGGTTTATCGTCGTGCTTGAGAATATTTCGCTCATATGACGACTTGCATGCGTGTGTATGTGCGGCTGCTTGTACTAGCCCAGACTGAAGCTGGTTTTATAGTGCTAGCCCACTGAGATACCATGCCGCAGTGAAGCATGAATACCCCACTCAGACACATTATACTGACTCCGAGCCGACCAGTCCTTGTTGTACCCATTAATGCCGAGCGCCAGGCAGGGACCAACAAGTACCATATTTTAAGGTCTTTTGGCATGACGCGGTCGGGGATCGAACCCGCGACCTTCCGCTCTCCGGGCGGACGCTCTAACCACTACACCACGGAGGCAGTTTGTTTACTATGTAAACTCATTAACTGTTGATTCATTAATCTGGTGCTTCACTCTCCGGATCCGGACGTTAATTAGCGGTAACTGATTAGCTAATTACACTTGGTTTTGCTTCATTAATCCAGCGGCACATCAAAAAGGTTCGGATAATCCACTTACCTCATGAGCACCACTGATAAGCGCTGATCTTCATCGGTAAACTTCATTGGTAACTGACAAGTGAGGTGAAACTTCTGAGTTGAACATGTCGTTAGTTTGTGATTTTAATCAATTAATAGCTCTCACTTGTGCACACGCAAATGGCATTATCAAACTTAGGCCATTTGTCATCACCAAATCCAGACGTCCCAGATGTTTTGGATGTAACCCAGAAATGTATGCTCGCTATCGTTTCAACAACAAAGCACGGATGACATCAGACATGTTTTGTGATTGGCTGATATCTTTTGACAGACAGATGCGATCACGTGGTCGACATATGATCTTACTTAGTGACAACACTGCCAGTCACAAGTGTGCCAATGTCAAATTGACCAACATGAAAGTTCATTGCCTGACTCCAACACCACTGTCATTGGCTATTTCTTTAAACCCGAGTGAGTTTCTGAGTTTTGATTGTTATACAAACTGTAATTAAGTCATTTATTACATGTATATGTATGTTCTTGTCTCGGTATGTCAAGGGGAAGTAACTCTACTGTAGTGGTGTACATAATGGTTCATTTCAGTAGTCCGTACGTTTCACTATCTGAACATTTTTGATGAAAAACGGAAGTGTTCGGATTAACGCGGCCTGACTGTATGTACCATGTACAATCCCACCGGTAAGAAGATGTCATTTTATTCCTAGCGCTAATATCACAATGATGACAGCAATCTGCCAAATTAACACAACACTGGAGCAGCCTACCTTGTGGTCAATAGCATGAGAACCACCTGGGTATCATGTGACACTAAATGAACCAAATGACAGCAGTTCCAGTTGTAATATATGTCATTATTTCAGCAGATGTGCCATGACCCTGACAAGAAAATCGGTTCCTAAGAATGTTACAGTACACCTTACCCTGTTTGAGCTCTTCACTTTGGAGATCGGCATAGGACTGCTGTATACCCCGCCCCGGAGCAGACGGTCTTCTGTAACATCTGACCTTGACCTTGACAAGCTGGAATCTCCCATTCCTGTAGATCTCCTTGGTGATACATATCCAGTCTCCATGGCAACATAGCTCCTTCGGGTGACCGAGTAGGAGAGTCAAAAGCTTGTTCAAGGGACCTACGGACGGCAATGAAGTAGATTGCTGCACTTGATATTCAGCAAGATCGCCGTAAGACGGAACCCGTCTCTCTTGATGGGGCCGTAGGGTGGGTGTTCTCAATGGGTCCGCTGACGTGGGTCCTCGAGATGGTCCACTGTATGGTATCTGGTCCTCATCCCCTTCTCCTGAATCTCCAGAACTGTAATCCACCAATCCACTTCTATAAGACTCCACGACTGGAGAGATTGGGTGCCGGCTGAAACAATTAAAATTACATCAGTGGACAACACCTAGCCTGCATCAGACATGTTAAAGTACAGGGTCTTACATTGTTTTCAACGTTTTGGGACACCATACATGGGCCTAGCACTGAGGACCCAGTTGGCCTGAAGCAGCTCCCAGAGTGTCTCAATAATTTGTGAGAAACCTTACAGTTTTCAGCAAGATGTGAGTGTGTAAAGGACAGCCCACCAACAAAGATTCGCCATACCTGTACTTGTGGGTAGACCACGGAGGAACCGGTCAGCCATGAGTGAGGGGTCCCGGAACAGCTCCCAGAGTGTCTTAATAATTTGTGAGAAATCTTACAGTTGTAAAGGACAGCCCACCAACAAAGATTCGCCATACCTGTACTTGTGGGTAGACCACGGGTAGACCACGGAGGAACCGGTCAGCCATGAGTGAGGGGTCCCGGAACAGCTCCCAGAGTGTCTTAATAATTTGTGAGAAATCTTACAGTTTTCAGCAAAATGTGCCTGCGAAATTGACAGCTCACCAACAAAGATTCGCCATACCTGTACTGGTCAGTGGCGAGGCCACTGAGGACGCGGTCAGCCATGGGCGTAGCGTCCCGGAGCAGCTCTCGGTGTGAGTCAAGGCGGTGCTGGATGGCAGACTGCTGCTTGTGCAGCTCTCGCTCCATCTGGTCCTGGATGTCTTGGATGAGGCGCTGGTGCTCCGAGTACTGTGACCGGAGCTCTGTCCGGTGCTGTTCCTCTAAAACCTTGAACATCTTCAGCCAGGACACCTGAACAAACACACAGCATACCACCACAGGTAGGGTGTTTAATAAGGGATAAAACGATACAGCAAGATTATGATACGATAGTATCACAATACATAGGTCATATTTACATCAAATCTTTAGGTACCACCTGTAAATGTTTCAGAGTAGTTTCAAAAGGAACAGCTAGCTGAAAGCACATCTGCATCACAGGCATTTTTACAGTGATTTTTAAAATGCTAATTTGTACACATATTTTAATATTCTTTGTTTCTTTATTCCTTTACATGATGGCAGTCGGTATATAATCCAGTCTGGATATCACGGTAGTAGTGTTGGAGAAGTAGCTTCCATGTTGTACAAATAATGTCAATGATGACTGAAACTACCAGTTTTGATTACAACATAACAAGAAACACCCCATGAACATGATGAAGTTTGCAAATCGATGCCTCAGCTAAGGATTGTTGACATCAATTTGATCAGCAATTTTTTCTTGGAATTGGGCCATAAGTATTAAGAAATAGATTTTGATAGAGAAATTATTCTGCACATATGTGTATTACGTGGATTTTATGAATTCATGGAAGAATTAACACATGCTCATACACTTACTCTATTAATCAGATAAGATTACAACACGTACATGGATTTTATTCCACTATGGGATTCAAACTTGTAACTTAAGTCGTAAACTGGATTGTTTTTGTTTTATTTGTTGAATGGTGCCACAATCAGTAATATTCCAACTATAGTATGGCGGTCCTCTAGTACTCTACTCTTGAACAGACAATACAAAGATTGACATCATGAGCATCAATCTAAGCTTTTGGGATACAACTAGCATCAACCACATCATCGACTCTGACAAAACATTTTCACTGTTGATCATGATGAGGTAGCTAGTGGTTAATGAATTTGCTTGTCATGGTTTGACTTGGTTTGACTACCACAAAGTTTCAGGTCAAGGCCCGTTTCTAGCATTTCTTAGCCATGATTAATGATCTTATACTGTAAATCATGAATGAAATTAATGCGTCACGAATTGAATGCGAGTGCGAGGGTCTGGTCTGAAATGCATCATGAAATTATTGCAAGCTCAGGAATCTGTGTTAATGATAAGATGTGACACTCTGAATATTTGATGTTCATTTTCTTTTCACACTTGTTATTTACCAAATAACCTGAATTGAGCTTGTTAAGCAATAAACGGAAATGAGCTGACGATGTTTTGATAACGTTGTCGTGTTTGATCATGTGATTGCTTGCTACTACTTGTCTTATGACAACATTTATAAACGTAATCCAACTTGAAAGACACAAGGCATCTACCCAGGTACAACAAACAAGTGGTTGGAGAATGTCTGGTCTGGCTGATGTGCTTGAGTAACTTTAAGCAATGACCAGTGATTGTAACCAGTGATAATTACATGTGGCTTGAGATACCTGTAATGAGGAAGTGACCTGTATTGGTGTAATGTGTAGTGTCAACACTTCCGCTATTGTTGCATAATTTGCCGATGAATAAGTTTAATGGATATCAATTAGTGTCATGGAAATTAGTCCTCATTTGTCCATTAATTTTATGAGAGATGTCTAAATTGTTATTATATACTTTATTGTTATGATGAATGCTAACCCAAAGACGATGAAGACGACAAGAGATTTACGATTTCTGTCTTCTATTAAGTTATCAAAACTAGACATGGTCAGACTGAAATGTGTCATTATAATAATGCGAGAAGCATACAAACTCGTTTTTCGCATTAATAAAATGTTTACATTAATTTCATGATTTACAGTAATTTGAATATTGCTAAAAATGCAGTGTAAGCCTACACTCACTCATATCCTTGGCGTCACTTTCAAGTAGGCTAGACTCACCTAAAAACAAAAAATTATCAAAATTATTGAACTAGAATCTCCCTCACCTGTTGATCTTTCAGTGTTTTATATCCTGGTACAGGGCCTGAGCTGGGAGGTGATGTGACAACTTCCGACTGATACAGATGTCTGTGGTCAGCTCGGGACAGATCTGGAGCTGGCACAGAGTGGTACTGGTCATGTGGTTGAATGCGTCCACTAATGTAACTACCGTTCACGCTATTCCCATAATCAGACGTGTAGGATTCTCGGCTCTGATCAACATTCTCATAGCGCCTCCCATCAATCTCCTCCCTCCGTGAAGACCTATAAGTATGATCTCTCCGTTCATAGCTGGATCTCATCCGTGGTGAGATAGGAGGCTTACCCAGAGATGGGCTTCCAGAATTGCTTGGTCTGCTGGGTGGCACCTCTTGCTCCTGCCTGGTCTTCAGAATGCCCTTGGCAGGAACTTCAGACAGGTAGGATTCCTGCAGTTCCCCATCTTCATTTACCTTCCTCCCAGACTGAACTTCCTCGGGCGAGGTTTCAAGAACATCCGATACCTGCTCAGCCTCAGCACCGGAACTTTCTCGTGTGTCATCCTGGGCTTCCTGACCTGCTCCACTTGTGTTATCTTGTTCATCATCCTTCATGTCCTGCTCTTGCACTTGTTGCCTTCCATCACCCACCTCACTTCTCTCTGCATCCACTTGCCCATTTGCATCATCAAGCTCTGAAGATTCCCTGAGTTTTAGGCTCATGAAAACAGTGCCCTTCATCCCGGGGAGTCTTCACAATCTTGAAGCGCCTTTCTCTCACCTTCATTATCAGACTTATGGGAGCTCGCTGAGCTTTCACTCAGTGGCGTCGAAAGCACTCTCATCATCTGACCTTCTTGGCGAAGTGGGTGGACATTCTGAGCTGGTCCATTTTCCTGTCTTTTTTATCATACTTGATGTGTTCTCCAGTCTCTAATATCATACACTCTTTGACTCCTGGTGAAACCTGCCTGCACACTTTGTAGTTACCGTAATTCATAGGGTATTCCGGATATGGAGAACCTTCCTCGATACAGACAACCTTAATATCATCATCGTCATCATCATCATCATCGCCTTCAGCTTCATCGTCGTCTTCATCCTCAGCTCCCTTCATTTGTGGCTCAACAACCCGATCAGCTTCAGGGCTACTTTCATCAAAGTCTTGGTTTTGTTCCATAAGAATAGAAGGAAGGTCCTCTTCTGTTGTACGTTTATTACCATCTTGATCTACACCAAACATTTTTTCCTCACCACTCGGATCCGTTTGCTGTAAATGCTTATCTACAGATAGATCAGCCGGACCTTGGAATCAGCATCCCCATCCGCTTCAGTGCCCCCCTCCGACTGATAGAGCTGCAGCACCATCAGCAGCCAACGTCTGCTGGAACATTTCCAGAGTCAGACTTTAAAGATGTGTCACTATCACTGTTCATCATAAGTGCTTTGCTGAGAACCTCCTTGACAACAACCCTAGCCTCATCACTGTTCTCTCTGTTGGTCTCCCTACCATCTGTTTCTTCTTCACTCTCTCTACCAGTATCAAAATGGTGCGACCCAAAGGAATCCCCGGGGTCGCTCATGACACCCGACACCTTGGTCTCGGGCGATGAAAAGGGTGAAGCAGGCCTAGGTTCTCCAGATTGTGCCGAAATGTCTGGAACTTCATCCCTGTGTTCTTCAACTGTTCCACTTGTGGTAACATCAATAACACCAGTCTTTGTTTCCATGTGGTCCGGCTCACCATCTTCTCCCGATATGTTCTGAGGATTCTCTGCAGGGATAGTAGGTGTTTTCTTGGCTTCATCCACATCCTGGTCTGGTTCAGAAGAACCAGCAGTAGCTTCAGCTGGAACCGCCTCAACCAGTGGACTCTCACCATCAGGCTCAACCGGTGGACTCTCGCCATCTTCATCTTGCCTCACAGGCTCTGCAACATTGTCTGCTCTTTGTTGCACATTATCCTCACCACCTTCCGTGTCCACAGTGTTTGACTGAGCTTCAGCATCCTGACCTGGTGTCACCCGGCCTCTCAAGGGGACAACTCCATTTGCCCCAGAGTTATCCCCATCTTTCAGATCATCATCTCTGACAGAGGATGTGCCATCATCTGCAGCATGATCTCTTTCCTCTCCACCACTGCCAGGATCATCCATTATCCTGAAAACAAGAAAATATATGGCGATCATATGTACACCTGATACTGAATTTCTAAGGTCTTTTCTGGATCTGCTCAGAAGTAGATATCAGACTCCAAGTCGAAGCAAATGAAACAATTCCCAGATAGAATCAACAATTTCCAAAACCTTACAATTTGCAAAACAAGAGCAGCAAACATAGTAAAAGATCCTGTTCTGATAATATGTCAAACTATTTTCAGTTTAATTGGCAAGGAGCGTAGATTGAAATCTCTGGTGCTGCTACACCACTGAATACAGGTTTGTCTATCATGTCTATAAAGTATAATGACAACATGAGATCAATTTTTTAGATCTTTTACAAAAATCACCTGGATCGCATTGATAAAATAATATAATTATGACCTATGTACAAGTTATGAATTACAGGTTTTTGACAATATAAAAAGATGACTTTCCACAATCAGAGTGAGTAACAAGGCTTACTACATGGTGATGCAGACTTAACATCATTAAATCTGTAGCCGATATTATGTACATGATGCCAAAACATGCTTTACAATGCTTCCATCATACGGATTAAGTGATAGGTTTTTAACATCATGGGAGAGAAATTCAGCTTGAGAGCAAAAGGATCTTGATCATGAACTTTAATGACTTTAGATGACGTTTTAACAGGTACCTAAATCAGTACTCAGTCTCTAAATCATCATGGTTGTAGAAAAAGAAAGTAAACCAACATCAACATCAGATTCTATGTATCAGTATATATCAGCCCTTCAGTGAAGTAAATGAAACACCTTGTTAACCTCAAATGCCCAGCGAATGTCAACCGTATAAATCAATAACTCGGCAACTAATCCCACGAGAAGTGGTCTTCTGAAGGAGATATGTGAACCCCTTGCCGAGATTGATCGAGATTACAACCGCAGACTAACGGACTATGAAGATAAACAAACACAAACTGCAGTGGTTTTCAAAATATACACACATTTTCAACCCAAACAAGATTCACCTTTGCATAGATTTATTAATGAAACAGCAAGCAACTAGAGGTTTTATCTACCGGGTCTCCTAGACATCACACTGTTTTTACTTCTCAATTGACATTGTGGTGAATGATACTTGGACGCTGTTGCCGGGTTCGTGTAAAACAAAAATTTGCTTCAATAACACGCAATGAAATCATGTGTAAACAATACTTACGGCAAGGATGTCCTGAGACCAGTCAAGATCCTTGTCGTCTTATTCCGGTAACTGTAACTAATTCCGATAAATATCCGTGCTGTTTCACACGGATCATTCGTCAACAAAGTTCAGATTTTCGTTTCCTGTTGATACTTGCGCACTGATGCGGCGGGGGTCGCCAGTGTTAGACGCGATCTTGGGTGTCGTAAATTATAAATATTGTGTTTGGCATATATATCATGTAGATCTTATCATGGTGATGATACATTCTGTTCCCCCAAATGTGATATTTACTTATTTATGTAGTTGTGATACTGTTGAAAGGGAATTTATTAGCTTTACGACATTACAAAACGGGTCAGCTTACTCACGTGTAATTCTACTTCCTGTTGGAAGGTCACCGACCACCCACTCAGAGTTAAGACAGGTAGAATCTATACAGTGGCCAGTTGTGTCAAATATTATATGAAATACCAGTAACACTGAAAGAGACATTCTGGTCTTTGCCACGTATATTTTAAAGTCGGCATCATTCACTAACAACTCTTTATTGTTCTAGAATCAAAGCTTTAGATCTGAGACTCAGAGAGCCACAAATTTCACCAGGATTTCATCACTTATTTAAAGTTTAGAATTTGTGGCGTGACAATATACATGCCAACTTAAAAATACAAGTAGCAATACATCAAAACCAATTATTAATAGAAATCAAGGCAAGTATATCCTGACCCATTCCTAACCTCTTTAGTAAGAGTGACCAAAACAAGAGATTGAGTAGCAAGAGTGACCAAAATAAAAGATGGTAGAAAAAAACTGCAAATATAAATCACTATTTCAGTGGTTAGGAACTCATGCTAAAGTTTTCCTGATCAGAGTTATAACCTCTCCTAAGTGATCCTCATCAGTGATCGCCATATACCTAGAATACTACTGACGTGTGGCGTTAAACAACAGCCAACCTTCGTTAATGAATAATCAACTCATGTTATTGTTAACAGTTAATCCATGTTTTGTCAACACAGGTACTACAGATAAGTACTCCAAACAAAGTCAAATTACACAAATGTACCCGCTATCCTGAATGGAAGACGAGCCAATATTCCCCAACCTAAAACAAAATCCGGTTCATATTGTCACTCCCGTTTGCCTGATTACAAGTGAATCGAAGTGTACATCGTGAAATATTGTAATTGTGTATGCTTATTTCTTAAGGGACATAATCAAATTCACCTCATACAATAGTAAGAAAACGCTGCAGAATGGGCTTGTCCAAGGTTTCATTTCTGTATTCTGATTTTATTTTGGGTAATTTTCTGTTTTCAGAAACATACCTGGGGTACATATCTGTAGGGCTTTTGATAGAGATCACAGTCGTTAACTAAATATTGATTGGTAAATATCGGAGACGTAACTTTTTCACATCACTGGTGAGTTGTGACATGTTTTTGCATGGATTGTTAACAGAACAGCATCCTGAACATAATTTAGAAGCAGACCATGAATAAAGTCCTAAGTATGTATATTGTGTGAGAATATATTTCTATCACAAAACTTAATATACAATATTATTGATAACACAACTTTCACGCCGATATTCATTAATAATTTGTCATATCTACAATATTTCCGATTATCAATTATTTTAGCCAGCCCTACATATCTGTTGTACCCGTGACAACAACAACCCCTTTTAGAGTTACTCCATGTTGCCACACCCACTGATTACTTGTCCGCTTTGTTCCAGATTCTATCGACTGTTGAGAAATCAAGTAAGTAGTACCAATAAGTATGCACATGTTCCATACCATGTCAATAGCTCAACAAGTTAATCTATGGATTATCCGCCCTTTCCTCATTCCAAAACCAACACAAGGGACAGTGAAGAAACTCTTAACAGTGTCGTGTCAGCAAGAGAGATCACTCTCATCACACCTGTCAACCTTAAAACTAAAAGGGCCCTCTCAACAGAACAAGTTTCCCAACACAGAGGAACAAGGTGGACGTCGTTTGCACAGCAGAACAAATTTTCAGAAGATTTTGACTGTCAGTGTTCCTTTACGTAGCTATGTGTCACAGAAGGATTACCAGTTTCCTGTTGTGGACGAGGATGAGTTGGAGGAGCAGTATGTCCGAGGCAGCGGCCCGGAGGTCAATCGGGTCAACAAGACGGCCAACTGTGTGGTGCTCAAACACGTGCCCACGGGGATTGTTGTGAAGGTGAGTGCAGAGGAGTGAGTGAGTATGGTTTTATTCTGCTTTTAGAAATATTTAAGCAATATACAATGGTGGACACCAGAATTGGCTTCATACATTGCACCCATGTGGGGAATCAAACACAGGTCTTCAGCGTCATGAGTGAACGCTTTGACCACTGGACTACACAACCTCCCCGCGTGTTTGGCTGAGGACTGTGTTATGTATCATGTATTATGCCTTTGGCCAACCTAATACATATTGTGTATTCCTAACTTATGATATTTACAATACAGAAACTGCAAGGGTGAGTGAGTGAATTTGGTTTTATGCGGCTTGTAGCAATATTTCAGCAATATCACGGTGGGGACACCAGAAATGGGCTTCACACATTGTACACATGGGTAAACCTGGGTCTTCAGTGTGACGAGTGAACGCTTTAACCACTAGGCTACCCCACCGACCTCATTGAAACTGAGAAACACATGGATATCTCTGCAGTATTATGTTATTATGTAATTTTTAACTTCACTCAGTGAAGTTTACCCGTGAAGGTCGGGTTAGAATGAACCTTTAGTAACACATGCTTGTCGTAAGAGGCGACTAACGGGATCGGGTGGTCAGGCTTGCTGGCTTGGTTGACACATGTCATTTGTTCCCAGTTGCGCAGATCGATGCTCATGCTGTTGATCACTGGATTGTATGGTCCAGACTTGATTATTTA